TTATTAGAGACAATGCAAAGCAGCTAGGCTTTGGACTCAGCTAGTCCCTTGGGAAAGGTTACACTGATTTCCTAGTTGACTTGTTAGAAAGTTATTTCTTTTTTTTTTTTAGAGCAGAATAGGAGCTATGTAGAAAGTCAACCTAAAACAAAGACACAGCTTGATCTGGATGGTGTTCTCATGATGCACTGTACTAAAAAGCAGCAACTTAAATTTTAAGGGAGGCAGAGGGAAGCAGTTTTAAAAGCTACATTACAAACCTAAGTGAAAAATTTTTTTGTAGCCAGGGTACACTCATGCTTGACACTGGCTTCTTTTTATATGCATACAAAAGGCAATTTCTGTATTATTAAATTCAGAGTAAAAGCAAGTGTTCTATAAAGCCAGTCCTACTAAAAGGTAAGAGATGTTTCCACTCAGTCATATACAAGACAAATGAGGTAGTTTTTCAGTGTATCAATTGATGTGATCGACTGAAGGATTTGCATAAAACTAGAGATCACCAGGAAAAATATCCAAAGAGCAGGTTCTTAATTATCAGAAATGCCAATCTATGACTAATGCCTCCTGTGAGGAAAACATAAAAGTTTGTCTCATCTTTTCTACAGGATATCTTTTCCTATACAGTGCTACTTTTCAAAGTTTTCATATGAAACAGGGCTCCCCTTTCATTACATGCTGTCTAAAGTAAAGCATTTCCTGTGGGATGAAGATGCATTGCTATCACAGGTTTCATGGATGACCCTGGTGCATTACTTGATTCCTCCTGCTGTGTTTCCATATCTGCAAAATGGAATATTTTTGTATAGTGGTGATACTAGCAATAAAAATTCAGTTGCAGAATAATGAACTGTTCTGTACTCAAACTCTTGAAGGCATGACTAAAAAGAAATCTACTTCAACCCCTGATACATACACAGTCTTTCCAATAAAACCTTCCTGCCTACATGGATGGGAGGACAAGCTGTCATAACAGTTTTTTCTAAAACTGGAAGCTAAGTGGATTAAGATGTTTCACTGAATTAAGTAATGCAATACATGACTTGTGCCTTCCCTGACACTAAAACCTGAGGCAATGTGACAAAGTACACCAGCCAATTCAGAAACAATGCAACTTCTTTCCAGTAGATCACATGCCATTATCTACTGTCTCTGATTTTGGCCTTTTTAAGAGATACCTGGTAGCTTTACAGTGACATGTAAGACAAGAGAATATTTTGCCTGCCTGAGATTAACTACAAGAAATCAGCCTGAATGAACCTGAAGACAAAACTCTGTCAGCAAATATGGTCTCCCCAAGACCAAGATTAAGCAATATGAGGAGTATCCTGTATATGGTGCTACCAACATTATCTGTGGTCTGGGCACAGTAAGAACTTCAGGGCTGTAAAATGATCCACTCAACACTTTCTGCAGCACTAGTCTAGCACCAAAATTTGGAGAAAATTAAGAAGATGAGAATTCAACTCTCATATTTGAAAATCCAACACTACATACCATAGAACTTCCAAAATAGGAAAGACGCTGTTTCCAGCTCCACAACCAACCTAAAACCAGAAGAGAAACAAAGTTAAAATAAATAAGCAAATAAAACCTTTTTTGTTATTTTTGTCTTAAATTAGTTGGCACGTAGGACCCATTAAAGTTGAAGGTATGTTGGACAGAATAAGTATAAACAGCTCATACCACAATTCTCAAATAATTTATATGATCATGTTTCTCCTCAACGTCTTTCTAAAGTTGAGAGAATTCATTTCTCAAACTGCATAAGAAAATGCAATATTCTTGTCCAGTTTCACCATTTGGCAAGAATATGTCAACTACTTGCACTTTTAGACAAAGCACTTAAAAATATAAGTTTCCTTAGGAAATCAGAAACCCAGCTTTCAATGACAATGGAATCTGATTATCTAGCCCTATTCTGATTTGGGAGAAACTTTAAAGGAAAAACAAAGTCCATATGCTAGGTTTCTGTGAAAGTTTCTGCCATAAATGAATATAGTATGTTAAATTCTAAATGCTCACTTTTTTGATACTTACTAAGCATGTTTATCAGATTTTTGAGCAATTAAGTGGAGCTCTATATGATGAGTAGAACTTTTGCAGTGCATTACCTCTAATATTCTATAAGTGGCATCACTTCCAGGGAAAGATTCTAGCCTGTCAAGTTCTTCTCCACAATTTTTACCCTGAGGATTTTCACTAAGTGTTTCTGCTTGGTTTTTATTATATACACATCCTTGTACAGCAGTAGAACCACCTCGATAATTTTTCTTCCAGTATTTTTCTCCTTCATCAAACATTTCATTTTTGTGTGAAAAACTGTTGGTACTATTTATTTTTCTGTGTTCTGAAGATCTTTCTTCTCTTCTCAATTCTTGTCTCTTTTCTTCTGGAAGAATTTCTGGAAATTCCAGAAATAGCCAATTACGATCCTTGAAAAAGTTATTTTTATGGGTCTTGTAAAATTCATTCCAATATTTACTGGCTTCTCTCTCATATTTATCTGAAATTAAAAGAGAACAAAACCTTGGTGAATATAAGCTTAGCTACAAAATACTCTAAAGCAACATGGAATTTAGACCTCAAATATACAGTTTAAAAACCCATAGTTCCACAGATTGTACTTTCAAATTAAAACATATAGATTTTGGATTTACCTTAATCTGTGCTCAAAAATATTCCTATGAAGGTTTAATTAGATTTTATGTCACTCAGGAAGGGGCAGACAGGCTTTCTGCATCACTTTTTTTAATATAGTGACATAATAGAACAGCATCACCAAAACATGCAATCTGAAGATTTCGTTTGTCTCACATTATAAAAGCTATGCATCTTTTCAATTATTTAAGAAATACTAAATTGAAATTAATTTTATGTTTTATGAAATTCTGTGATCAATTGCAAATTTGTTGGTAGCTCATCATCTCTTAAAAAACCCCAGCAATTAGAAATCCAGTTCTGTGAACATGAGTGATAGATGCTACTGCATAGCATATAGACAATAATTCATGCTTAACCATTCAACAATACAGTCAGAAGAAACATACTGGCTTTCTTACTTTCAAAACACTTTCGAGTTTTACAGTAGATCTTTTAATTCACAAAAGATTGTAATGGAATGTTAGAATGTAAAGGAATAGGACTGGAAGGGATTTCATTCAGTCAGGGAATTCATACTCCTTCTCCACAAAGACCTCTCCAACTTATTCTTAAAATACCACCTTTCATATAGGTTTAACAACTTTCTTCAGTAATATATTACAGTCCTTAACTTTCAAAACAGTTAGAAATCTTTTCCACTACCTAACTATAATTTCTGTATTGCAATTAGGTCCAGCAATTCTTGTCCCATTAAACAACTAGATAAAGCAGAGGTTACTCACTTTTCTCTTTGCAACACCTATTTATATATTTGAAGTGCTTTACTATGTCTCCCATTAAATGTCTTTTCTAGAAACCTAACTCTCTTCTTTTTTCAATGTAACTCCTGATTTTTAGACTTTTGATAATTTTAATTCTTCTTCTCTAGATTCTTTCCAATTGATTTACTACTTTTCAGTGCTGTATTCTGGTAAAGGCATTATCAATGCAGAGCAAAAGGAGTATTTTACAAGGCTCACAGGCTGTAATCCTGTTTATAACTCCCAGCTTGCCATTTTGCAACAGCATGACTGCTGATTCAGCTAGTGATTCACCACAACCCTCAGATCTTCTTCTGCAAAATGACTACCTAGCCAATTGTTCCAGAGCCTAGTATTTTTTTCAAGGAATTATTCCAAAGCACAGTATTCTGCATTTATTTTTAGCAAACTTACATATTTCAAATTCTTTTTTCCCCCCATTTGTCCAGATCTTTCTGAATCTTAATCCTGTCCTTCACCACACTTGAAACATCTCTTCACTTAATATCATCTTCAAGTCTCCGATTTCCTGAGGTCACTAATGAAAATACCAAGCAGAACTGGACACAGAATAAAACACTCCTCACCCAGCACAGTCTTCTGTTCTGAAAGGATCTCTCTAGGCATTCACTCACCCAAAAGCAGTTTCATTAGCTCTCGCTTGCCTAACTTGCTTATGAAAATGTCAAATAAAGCAAGTCAGAAGCCTGACTAAGGATAAAGTTCAGGACGTCTGCTGTTTTTCCCTTATCCCCAGGGCTTGTAACCTTCTCCAAGAAGGAAATTAGCTTGATTTTACATGATTTATTCTTGAAAAAATATTTGCTGGCCAGTATTCATCTCCTTTGTTCTTTCAAACCCAGTGTCTGCAAGCTCTGGATGTACTCTTCCAGTATTTTTCCAGGAACCGAAACTAATTATCTGACTCTTCTTTTTTTCCCACCTCCCTTCTTTAAAAAAGTAAATATTCTCTTTTCTGCTTTTCCAGTCATCCATGTACTCTATGGATGTACTTTGTAACCTGTTCTTTCTCAGTTCCAGAACAATCTTTCCTCCTTCTCACCAGCACTAATTGTGCTAGCCACTGGACTGCAGCTAACCCTTTCAAAGGCAGGCTGATAAAAAGATAAGAATTACAGCTTTTTCAATGTCTCTTTTGTTGATGATTTTCCCTTCCTTATTCCACCAAAGTACCAAACTAAATCTTTTTTCCTGTTTTTTTTCCCCCTCATTCCCAAAGCATTTACAAAAGTATCTTGTTAGCCCTGACATCTCTTGCTAAGTGTAGATCATATAATGTGTTGCCTTTTTAATTTTGTCCCCACTCACACTGACCCATTAATTTTTTCAATAAAAAATGCACAGAGTAAATATATGGTGCATTTCTCCTACTACTCTCATTTAAATCTTAACATATTATTTCCTGAGAATTATCACTAGAGGCACAGACAGGCAGTGGGAAGTGGGAAGGAGGTGGCAGTATGCCTTGTCCTAGAAATCTGCATAATGTTTTAAAATTAACATTTAATACATCCAATTGTATTATTAAAGAGCCAGACCTGATCATGCAGAGTAATTGCACAGACTTGTTCTATAATGTAAGTTCAGAGTTGATTGAGGTCATATATATCACATTTCAGTAGCGTAAGTTGCACATTCACAGACTGTTCAGCTTCAGTATAAAAACAAAAACCCCTTCTACTCAAAAGGTTTTTAAATTATTATCGCTCCTTGTTACAGTCATTACTTTTCTATAAGTCTGCTCAGAACCCTTGTACTTAAATTCACATCAAGTTTTCCAGATTTTAGAAATAAAGGAAAGAGATACCAAAAGTCAGCCTTTCAAACTGTATTAGTATGGAATTACATAGGTTCAAGTGGAAGAACACTTCATTTTGCATTGTTGCACTGGTCACTCCTGCACCACTGTGTAATAGCTATGCATGCAGCATTATTATCAAATTTTTGCTTCATTTTGTATATTTAAGTAGCCTACCTACTAAATTTTCCAAAGCACATAAAAATGACAAAACTAAAAAACATATAAACTTCCAAGTAAAAAAAAATCCCTTACTTTGTCAATTGATGTTTCTCCTTAACAGAATCTTCCAACACTAGCAAGCATGCCTGAGAAGAAACTAGACATGCTAATAAGTAAATCAAATTCCTAAAAGTAGTATCATGAGTTCATTCAATTTAACATCTCTTGCCTTAAAAAGGCCCACCAGAGCTATTCTATTTTAGTGATATAATAGTACTGTTGAAATCTGTCTTGTCTTTTTCCCCTTACTGTAGTTTTCAAGGCCCCAAAATAACCTGCTCGTTAGCTTCAGTCTAGTTCATTGTTTACACAAATAGGCCAAAATGTACTTCCACTTGCAGAATGAAGCTGAAGCTTTCTGAAGGAACACTATCAGCTGTGCTTACCTATTCAAGTTCTAAACAGAGGGGCATTCATAGAAAATGTCCTTGGATTCTTGTATTTCTTGGCAATAGACAAATGCCTAATTATTCCATTTCTCACCAGCACAAACTAAGTTCTAATTGATTGTAGATGAAGAATTAAAGGTTCCACGAGCTACATGGTCACACAGCTTACTTTTCAATTATGAGCTCTTTTTCAGCTTTTTATACAAACCAAAGGAAAATATTAGATGTAATTTTTGGAAAACAAACATTGTACTTAGATAAAGAACGTGAGAGGTAACAGAAAAAGGCAGGCTGACAATCCCAGAGCATTCAGAGTGATGAAGGGCACAAATGCAAGGCACATTCTCAGGTAATTCAAATAAACTCCAACATGTGCCTTAGTTATATCAGTGAAACTCAGCACAGGATCATAATGACACTATCTAATTTGACAGATTCAAGACATGCTAAGTAAACTGAGGCCCAAGATATCTAAGTAATTTTTGTCAGAATATCTTTCTAACACTATAACAAATTAAGAATCCAGTCCTCTATGACACTATCAAGTTGATACTGCAGCTTTAGCATACATAACTACCCTAGAGTTTAGTCTATGGTTTAGTTTGCTAGTTTGAACCTGGAGCTATCATTCTTCAGAAACTCAGAACACATTAAATTTCCCTTCTGAAGATAGGCACAAAATTCGTTAATCATTTACAGTGCAAACTCTGCATTGTATTGGAACACCTTCCACACAAAGTGAACATACTGCTTCCTGAAGCACTCCCAGCTCAGCCTGGCAAAGACAGCAAGGTGGCACCAGCTGGGACCAGTGCAACTTTCATGGCGCTCAACTGAAATACAGTGCGGTGCACAAACACAAGCTCTCTAAAGAGTCTACTAATCATTAAAAAGCATTTGAACACTGTACATGGGAACTTTCATCCCCAGCACCATAGCTGGATGCAAACTCATTCCTCTGATTCTGTAAAAGTCCTGTGTAGCAGTTTCATTCTGAAGAACTGCAAAAGGAGTCAGAACAACCATACCATACTGATGTACTTGTTTTACATAGAGCCTATTGCTCCCCCAATTGCAAAATTGTTCAAATAAGTAACTGAATTGCTAGAAAAAAACACTTTGAGATCTTTTGAGACAAAAAAGGGAAAAAAACCCAAAACAAACAAAAAAATTCAGACAAGAGAATGTAGAAATAAAAAGGATGTTCCTGGATTCTAAAGCCATTTTAAATGTTTTCATAAACAGCACTAAAATAAGAATTTTTATGCCCTTAGGAATTTTTTACCTTGGTCTTCCCATTGAACTTTCACAAGCGAGTTCTCTGCTGCTTTTTTCTTGGCACTCTCCTCTTCTTCTTGTGACCACTGCATGTGGTCCCTAAAAAAGGCAGTTGAAGAAACAGCTTTTTCATAGGATTTTCCATAATATTTTTTTCCAGGAAAAACAGTATCAAATTAGCTATACTGTCTCAAATACTTCTTTTTTTTTTTTTGAGTGCAATCAAATGACCACAAGGAGACTGACAGGTAAAACCCAAGTTTCAGTGTATGATAGATAAGAATTAATCACCAATTAGGTAAAACTCAAGTGATTCAGAAACATCTCCCAACTGCAAAGAGACTGAAGTAGTATGAAGTAAGTAGTTTCCTTAATAACAGGATTAATATATATCTTGTAGATTGAGTGTGTTTATAGGAACGTATTTTGAGTGTCCCATTAGAACCATGTTTAGCTGAATATAATAGACCTACCAACAAACATCTAATGCAAGAAACTTCTCGCATTACTAGTGTTTATGATGAAGAACTGAGGTCATTTAGCAAAGAAATCAGCTGTTCCTGAAACAGGGAGCATAATCCACCTATGCAACTGGAACCAGCGGAATTGATGAACAGGATTTTACTTATTTGGGGAATAGAGACAAGTAACATTTAAAAAAAAGAATGAGACACTCATAAGAAAAGACAAGCAGTGCTACAACGGTTCCAAAGTTTATGTCCTCTCTATTTGCGTAAAGTGGTTAACCAAATGTTATGTTAATCAATTAAACCATCACAGAACCAAGCCCAGATCTGACACTGGTGACTAAACTGCGTTCCCTGCAGATTCTGTGTTTGGATCAGGCTGCAATGGGAAGCGCCCAAAAATGTGCTGCTGGCTGTTTTTAAAAGCCAATCAGTTGTCCCTCCAAATCATCCAGTCTGAATAGATTAAATTAAATAATATAATTCAAGTAATCTATTAGATCCTAGTCCTACTGAAATCAACTAACTGAAAGCCCATGACTAAAATTCCATTGGTTACTATGGGAAAAGAGACAAGGTGCCAACTTGGAAGAGCTGATTGTCTCTAAAAGCTAATGAGCATCTTCCTGTTCTGTACCTGGTGATATATAGGTAATTTAATTCTTAGACCTTCGCTGTTCCTCTTTTGTTAATTGTGGGAGACTAATTGGTATGTATTTGTCTGCTTGCCTCAGACTTGATTTCCGCATCTCTACTGAAATATTTCTCATTATTGTCCCCAGCAGGTTGCCTCTCCCCTTCCTGTATTTGTTCATATGCCAAATGTTCCTGTGCAGTGTCACGGCTCTAACAGACATGCTGCAGTAGAGTAAACCGAATGACCAAAAGCATTACTAGGCAGTCATCCTCTTGGAAAGACTTGCTTCCCTCACTGCTATCACCACTTTTGACCTTGCCTATTCCAGCAAGCTGAAACCAAGGACTATTCAGATGGCAAGAATACACAGTCAGCCCTTCTGACAGATGACTTGCTGTGGTATAATCTTCAGCTGATCAGTTTTAATCTATCATTGTGTGTCTGTCAGAGCCCTTAAGGGTGCCTGAAGCCCTCCATCTTCAACAATCTTTTTTTCCTTTTTTCCTTCCTTGGAAATTCATAAAGCTGAAGAAGGATCTTTTGGCTCTTTCCTAGAAATTTCTGTATGGTAGATCCCAAACAACATGATTGCAGCAGCACTTCCTGATCAAAATCAACAAAGGAGGAGACATACCATAGTTCTTATGCAAACTATTTACACAGTTTGGATGCTTCAAATGAGGCAATACAAGCTGGCAGAAATACAGGACACAGGAGAATCCTAAGCACAGAAGTGTTTAAATACAGAAGTGTTTTAAGCTGAACACTGACAGCAGCAAAGCAAGCTATCCATTTTAACCACACCAGGAGCTGTTAACATGAGTAGGTCTGATACAAGATCAAACAATGCTGCTTTTAGTTCAGCTTATTCAACTTAGTCCTTTTCCACTAACTTGTTTGCTAACATAGGGTTTAATTATCTCTGTGATAATGTGAAGACTATGCCAATTACTAACCTGAATAGAAGCAGACATTTTTTGCTCCAATGTTTAACCTTACTCATTAGTTCTCTCTTGAAATGACAGAAAAGCACCACAGCAAACATCCAAAGCATTAGTTCTCAAATTTAATCTGCTTAGTATGTCTAGCAGCAATGGTAGCAGCTCTTGGCTCTCTGCCAATTCACACACAGACAAAAAGAATGACAAAGCATGAAGTACCAAAGATGATGAGTGGAAAACAAAAGGATATCATACATCAATGCTAGAGAAGATGAATATCTTATGCTCACCCTGCATAATCTATTCAGCACTACCACCCCTCATCCTAATCCTCCTTATCTCCCTAGTGAGAACCGTACCAATTCAGTGAGCTTCAGATCCAAGGACCTACACCTCTTCATAGCCAGGTTCTTGATTTATCAAGACCATCACAACTTCCATGTACCTCTGCTTCAACTCAGTTTCACCTGCTTTTCCTTCTGAGCTACACGGGTTCATCTGCAGATCCATTTTCTGAACAACACTGTTCCGTTCACTCTCATTTTCACAATCCATCCCAACCATCTGCATCATAGTTTTATAACTCTATTAGACTGTCACCAAAGGCTAGCAGGAAAAACTGAAGCTATACGGGATCAGTTTTTTGGAGGGAAATTAAAAAAAAACCCAAACAAAACAAACCCAAACAACCAAAAAAAAATCCCAAACCTGAATTTCATTGAGATACAATGTTACAGAAAAAGGATGTCCTTTTCCTAAAAGATCTTTTAAAAAAGATTTTTAAATCTTTTCCTATCTTGATTACATAGTCTACATTTAAATCAGCATTTACACAGGTAAAGGATTTTAACATCTAGCAGAAAGCACTCAGCCTGGAATATGTTAAAGAACTACACTGCTTATAGATTTATGAAACACAGATTAACTTTACACTCTTAACACAATAATCAGCCAGCTTCCAGCTTTCTTGACCAAGGAATGTATGGAAGTACAGTTAACTCCAAATTTGGCCATAAGATGGTAAGTGTTGGGGACCATGGCTTGGGGACACCTAGTTTAGAAAACACTAATAGGTAGCAGATCTAGTTAACTAATCAGTTAAATCCAAATTTAGAGACTAAAAAGAGTAACAAAGATGCTAGTTCATTAACCAGAGGACAATTTTCTGTGTCATATTCTTAAGACCTTTTTATTAATCAGAATTTGATTAGAGAATCTTTTGAAATAATTTAGATTAAAAAGCAAAGTGGACCAATGAACAAATAAAATGGACTACTAAAAAGAATAGTAATTAAAAAAACCCAAACAAACAGCAAGTTGAAACTTTATTTCAGAACACAACCTTGTCAAGTAACTTCTCTGACAGCTGACAGCAGAGGACACCTCTGAGGAAACTATAAGAACTGTAGATTAGTTCTATGAAGTAAGCTTAAGGCCTGAAACTTGTTATCTGTTACTTCTATGTTACGTTACCCATTGGTTATTATTAGCCACTTCCAGTCTCTTTTTCGAATATTGCTAAATCCTTGCTATCAAAAATAGTGACACAATTCAAAACTACATTTAAAATTTATGTAGAAAGTACTTTCTTGTATAGCTTCTAAATTCACCACTTTTCATCAAATATTCCTTGGTTTTAAGTTATGAACTATAGGAAGAAAAATTCCTGGTTTCCCCAATATGTTAGGCAGATATTCTTCTACTTTCTAAACAGATTTAGATATTCTTCTATCCTCCTAACACTTCCTGTATCACTTGCTGTTTTGTATTCATCTCTATCCCACAGCAAAAAATCTTAGCCTTTTTAGTCTAATTTTTCCCCCTGTGTTGACCAGCATTCTCCCTCTTTTCCAAGCACCCATTAAATACAAAAATACCTTTTAGAGATGGGGATGCACTGTTGCAAATCAGGACAATTCTTCTGGTTAACATCTACACATTGATGTCTTCTCTGCTGTTATATCGCTTATTTATGTTAAGATTCAATTTACTTTTTTTGATAATTGCACACTGTATGGAAATCTCTGCTGAATGATCTGTAACATCTTCAGTACACCTTTGGAAGAATACAAGTAATTCACATGTTCCTTTCGAAGTGGTGTCAGTTTTAGACTAAATCGCTAATCCAGGATGCAACATCCTTGTACCTAACAAGTAACCTTCTGCCATTATAAATAATATGGACTATCTTATTGCTACACTTTCTGTCTCTTAATTAATTACTGATGCATAACAATATTTTGCATTTCATTCCTTGACTAACTATGTACTCAGCAGCTTTTTACAGAAGTCATTGAGAACTTTTAACAGTCAGATTACTTGTGACAATCTCAAGTTTTCTCTAGTGCTCCCTTTACATGTCTTTACTGGCAGTACCTTGTTTTATACACACACACACACATATCATTATTCATCATAGTAAACAGTATACAAAATTATATGAAAATCAGCCTTGAAAAAACATCTCACCACATGTTATGCTCAAAGACCTTAGAAGGATCAGTTAAAATCCGTGATCCAAGTGGAGCAGCTGGTCGTCTATTACTTTGGTGCCTGTGTTGCATCTTGCTTTTCCTCAGACATAAAGCAGAAAGCCTTGTAATGAAATTCATTTTGTTCAGAGACCTGAAAACACATTTAACTCAAATTACAATTTTGCTGTAACTTAATTGTTTATGTCGCTTACATGAGAAACGGGTCAAATAACCAAGCACCAGTATCGGCTTTAGTAATAATAATCTACTACAGTTCAATTTAAATGCTTTTCGGAACAGCAACATCCCTTCAGTGCGCTGAAAACCCAAATAATCACAAAGTAGGCTGGAATGAAACCAATTGAAGGACAAATTATTTGGTATCATTTCAAAGTCCTATCAGGCAGGGGAAAGAAAAGCAATATACGGTAAAACAATAATCCAAGTCTGATATTGCACCTTGACAAAGACAAGCAAGAAATGATCAGTAAAGAAACCACTTGTTCTAGTGGGTACATTCTGTCACCAAGATTGACTTTTTCACCCCACTCATCATCTTCAAAAGATTTCATTCTAGATCTGTGACTCTGGTTTTATGCCTTTAAATAGAAAATGAAAGATTTTTATTTTTAGAGTGTAAACATTATGCACCAGAAAGCCTTCCAAAATTTCTGATCCCTATGTAATGCCCTCTTTGAAATGAATGGTCCTAAATGTTAAATTTCTACCAATGCAAATTATAAAGTGATTGAAATTTTTCTATTACATGTATAATTCTGTCTTATACATCTATATTTTACTTTACTTGAAATTTCTTCATACAACATCAAGAAAGTCCAAGTAATGAAAGATAACAAGTGTGTGTATCTCATACCAGCATTTTTTCTTGGGTTTTTATTTTCTTTGTTTGTTTTTTTTTGCATATTCTCATTAATATAGGCTTTTTATGAGATGAATAAAATGAAATACACCTCCCAATACTACTTTTATCCTGATGTGCCTTTGTTCTTTTTTCCTTCAAATGTTCTGCATGACTTTAAAAATTATTCTTAGTCCTACTTTTTTTTTCTTCTTTTTTTTTTTTTTTGGAGTGCTGCTTCTGTAAAAACCACACATACAAATTTAATGCACTGGAAATACAAAATGTAGTTACAAAAGAACAGGCACAAGACACTACTAGAAAACATTGTGTGCAAACTGGTTACAAAAAGAAGATTTTTATCTTGCGGAAAATAGTACTATTTGATCACAAATCTTGTACTGTGAATCAAAAAATATTAATTAGTACACATCACTACAAAACCTGGCAAAGGAATCACTAATTAAATGAACAACTACTCATTTAAGGTGTACTTTTGAATGAGTCATGCTTTAAAAAGGGCATTGTTTATTCACTTAAGCCTACAGGAAAAAAAAAAGGAAAAAAGATTAAAATTTCTTTTTATTTGTGAAAGATTAAATAAAATGGAGTTTACCTTATGGTTGTCAATGCCAAATAAAATTGTTGTTAATTTTGGCTAATAAGACTGCAATGTTACCAGGATATGGGGGCACTGCCATACAGTGAAAATATATCATGTTGTCCTATTAAAAAAAATCAGAATTTCTAATGTTAGCAAGTTTATTATGGCTTTTTTTTCTTAAATGTGGCTCAGCAACTAAAACAGTTCCAGTTTATACTTCAATTACTACAAATTGTTTATGCTTTGTATTTGAAAATACGTATGCATTTTTCATAACACAATGCATAACTTAACATATATGGGATATAATAATTATTATGAGACATGAAAATTAAGACATGACAATTTCTGCAAAATGTGTAATTTACATAAAGGGAATGTTCTTGAAAACAAAAAAATAGAAAATCCTTCAAAACCCCAAACCACAATCTGATCTAAAATTATTATTATTAAATTACAGTAATGCCTGGATAAAGATTCCATTATTACAACGCAAACTGTTTACAAATCCTCTTCCTTCTTCAATCATTTGAAAAGATCTGAGTTAGTATCTTGCATTTCCTGTGCCAGCATTGATATTCACCACAAAATATGATTCAGCTGCTAGGCTAGTCACATAATTTTTTTTGGCTTTCTAAACATCTCAATAAGAACATGAAAAGATGCACAGATGGCAATTATAGTCAGATGACTAAGATGATCTTGCATCAGTAAAATCCAGATATGAAACTCTTTCTATGAAAATGTAATCCTTTGAGTGGTAAGTGAACAATTTTAGCTGATAAATTCTGGAAAAAGCAAAGAGAGTGAGGTAGGTGTGGAATTTAAATTTACTGTTGCATCCAGTGTTAAATGTGAATGAACCCCTTGGAGACATGCATGTATATCCCTGAGAATTAAAAGTGATCCACAGATCATGACATCAGTGGACAACCTGGCTACTAAAAGTTGAAAAAGCATCTAAATTACTTGGAAACCTAAATAACATTTTCAGAAGCAAGTCCTTGCTCAGTTGTTTCTCTAAGTGATTTTTGTTAATGAAACATGCAAACACCCTTTGTCAGGTAACATGATCATACCCTGAAGTCACGACAGCAAGAAATGTCTGAAAGAATTAGGAGTTATTTCCTTGTTCACAGGCACAGTCAGGAATAGTTTAAGTTTTATTATTAATCAAAGCAATTCAACCTTCATCTTTAAAGAAATTAACACTAAACTGAATTACATTAAAAATGGCTAATTTTTGTGGCAGCATAGCTATTTTTCAGAAAAAGAAAAACTTTAAAGAAGCAATGCAATTGATAACCATGCTGAAAAGCAACATGGAAGACTTTTTTTCCCTGTGGAGTACTGCCTTTTATCCTTTATAATTTTGTCATTGTTACAAGTATAGATCAGTTTAGTTGAGAAATTTTAAGAAACAGCCTTAAAACTCCTCCTCTCCTCAAACTGGCTAACACAGCACTTTTAGCAATACTTTTTGAAAGTGGACACGCAAAAGAATGAATACACATCAAATGCAAGCTAGACCTGAAAGAATACATTTTTAATTGATGTTGCCATTAAAACCTTGAGCAGTCACACCCACAGAGACAAAAATAAAGATACAGGAGAAAGGAACTGTTTTAATGTTTTTTAATGGCAGATTACAGCCCAAAACATATGTAAACCACTTAATTGATGAGTAAAATCCTTTAAAAGTATCAGTTCTGAGGGAGATGTCAGTGGAAAAAAAACCAAATCAAAAAGAACAGAAATAACCTTTTATTTCTGTCCAAGAAGCTAATTTAATGAACTTACTAGATGAAAATATTTTGACATTTGACTGATCTCCAATTACAAATATAATAACTTTTTCCATCTCCAATCACTAAGCCAACTTGTAGAGTCTCTGTTATAAAGAAAAAACCAGCCTATATTAGGAACAGTATGTGCAGTTTATGTTACATTCCTGGACAGAAAAGTATTCTGGAAACAATTAACGTCATACAGTCCCTTTTGCTTGGCACCTAGAAGCTTATCTAGACATTTGACCATTAATCCCCAACACTCTCCTGTAAAGCACAGCTGATCTATTTTATCACCATCAAACACTACCAAAACTCAAAACACCTTACACAAAACAGATGCAAGTGACAATCATGGACACAAAGGAAAAAAATTTTCAAGATAATGGTAACACAGAAGGTATAACTATGAATTACCAGTGGCTATTTTTAAAATACATACATATTAATATTTCTTAATATTTCAAATCCAGAGGGATGGGGGCGACTACTGTCAACCAGACTCATTCATCAACTGAATGCTTACTGCTATTCTATTCTACCAAGTGACTAATCACGCCCTCTTGAGGTTTCATGATTAGTTTTTCAATTACATACTTCCAAAAAAAATGTGCATTTGAAACAATAGGATATTTCACGACTTTTCAAACTCAGCAGATCTAAAATTTTCAACTGTTTTTCTTCCTCGTGCATAATAACCAGGAATGATGATGACCTCCCTGTGGGCATACAGCAACTTCAGTAAAACTGCTGCAGAGCACTGACTCCCAAGGAGAAGAGAAAAACAAAAGAAAAATTATTTTGATTTATTCTGACTTCTATACAGAAAACACAGTTAACACTGGTTAAAAAGCAAAGCAGATAAAAACAAACAAATCAATGCCACCACATATGATTTTAATCACATGTGCACAAATATCGAGTGAGAAACGCCTGTTCTTACACCAGCTGCCAGGCAGCCCATCAAATATAGTCGAGGAAAGAGAAAATAGTTTCTACAATGGTAGAGGGAGAGAGAGAACCGGAGATAAACTCTGCTGATGTTCTGAAAACATTTACTTGAATCACAGAAGAGTTACCCGTTACCCTACACACCCTCTGCTGGCTGCTGCTTACACAGGAAGGAGGAAAAAGAACAGAAAAAAATGGAGCTGTGGTGACTTTGTGTCACCATATATACATGCACAGTGAAGATGCATCTAAACCTCCAAATGCAATCACTTAAACTGTTTTTAATCCTATTTTGTACGAAATATCGAACATTTAACTGTACTGTCTAACAAAAGATGATTTGTCTCAACACAAACGATGTTTGTTTCCTTCTATTAAAGATGATGAGAATTGGGATAGGGGAACGTGAATTTTACTACTGTCTACAATTTATATTGAAGCACTTCATTCACTAACATTCCTGCAAGACTCTGGGTGTCCATATGGACTTAGCTTAGCTGCAACCTGCCCTGTCAGCTCTGAAGTCACTGGCAGTGTTGCAGATCCACTGGGCAGGATGCACTTACTTGTCCCACCCAGGTCTTTGAAGGAGCAACTGCAACCACCATGTGTGTGTGTTTAACTCACTTCATCAAATAACTGTAAAGCACCAGAAAATTAAAGGCCTCTCTCTTTGCTTACAGTATCAGTGAAGATTAAAGGTTTCACTCAGAGACCCTGAAGAACAGACACGGACAAAACACACAAAATATCAGCAACTTCCGCATTACCCCATATGGGCGCCCGGCCTCTGGCAAGCAAGGGAAAGAAGTTTTTCCGCAGACTTCAGCTGCTCTGCCGGCAAGTAGTGACTGATAATTGTGACAACTTTTGGAATGTAGCTCTAAAAATACACAATTGAAGCGTCATCCATCTTAAGGAGTTGCTGTTGACCTTGGAGTCTTAAACAGGGTTAAACAAATCCCTTAACATTTCCAACCTTCCCCCAAGTCCCGGTACGCTCCATCCCACCCCGCCGTACCCAAAAGTGGTGGTGGCCGGTGCCATCGGCCCGCAGGTGCCAGCCCGGCCGGGGCAGAGCTCCCGGGGCAGCTCGGCGGCTCTCCCCGACCCCCGCGCAGCGCCTCCCTCCTGCCCGGTCCTCCGAGCGGTGCCTGGCCGACACCGCAGCGCTGCCGACTCGGGAGCGGCCCCGCTCCGCCACCCACGCGCGGGGACCAGCCGGCCCCGGCCCCGGCCGCGGGTCCCGGGGAGCCGCGGCGGGAGGTGAAGTCCGGGCGAGCCGCGCGATTCCGCCCCTGAAAACTACAGTACCCGGCGGGCCACGGGGAGGCGACGGCGGTGCAGGGCTGTTCGTGCCCGCTTTGCGGGAACTCGGCGCTGTGGCGGCGGGGGAAGCGCGGGGAGCGGAGCCCCGTAGGGAGGCCTCGGTGTGCGTCTCTCGGGAGTCAAGGAGCAAGAGGCCGCTCAAACCTTTCCCCGCTTCGCTTCAGCTCTCGCGGGGCTTTGAGAGAAACCCGGGGCGGGCCCGGGCCCAGCAAGGCTGCGCGACCCTCCAACCGCCAGGCTGGAGCGGGGCAGGAAGGCGAGCCGGGAGCGGGGCAGGAAGGCGGTGCCCCCCCGCCGGCCGGGAATGTGCCCGCAGGCGGCCCCCGGCCGCGTCAGGGCCGCCCCCCGCGCGCCCGGCCCTCACAACGTTTGCCGCGTCCTCGCCCGCAGGGCCCACGGCTTCTATGCCAGGGATGCTGGTGTCGCCCACAGGAAAAACCTGGGACTCCTCAGGAAGATCATGTGTCAGGTAACAGCGGGGCGTTTCGGCGCTGGCTGAATCCCTGCGGGTACTGGCTTTCAGTCGGGGGGACTGAGTGTCAGTGCTTAGTCCAGGTGTTTGAGAAGTCCCTGGTCACGCTGACGAACAAGTTTGGGGGAAAAAAAATCTGCAGGTTTACTGAGGAGAGTTAGAAATGGTTAAATTTACTTCTCGAGTCTCAGACCTAGAAATGTAGAGACGATTATGCTGTGCAAAAACTGCAGAAGCACCTGTAAATCTAATAATTGTGTTATAAATAAGCTTTTGTGAGATTTTATAGCACTTATTTCCCTAAAATGGCTTCATATTTAATACCAATATTAAATTCATAGTGCTTAAGAGAGCATCAATGTTAAACTTGAAAGGAGTTCTCACAACTAAGTAAGCTAGTCAGCAGAGTTCTTCAGATAAACATAACCCTAACCAATCAGTGAATTGATGGTATAATAAAAAAAGTAATTAAACCAATTAGAAACTGAACTCTTTTTTTAATCAGAATGATTACTGCTCCCATGCAGTAGTCGATAGGAATACATTGGAAGTGGAAGGGAATTGGCAGTCATGTTATACTGAAAATACGCTTATTGGAAGTCAGCTGAAGTGTGTTCTAATGTAATTAGATCAATGGGCATGCAAAGTTTATTGAAATAAAAATAAGTACATTTGACCTACACTTTTTTTTTTGCAAGACCAGAACCTTTGTTAATGGTATAAAGCTACTGATACCTATAATGCATGCAAGACACTTTTATGGAAGCAGTTTATTCCATTAAATTTCAGGCGCTTTTTGCAAATAACTGCAAACACATTTTTCTACCTTTCACACCAAACACGGTCGGCAAAATGGAATTAGATGTTCAATAAATACAATTAATTATATATAAAAGAATTCTATGTATATTTAAACTCTGGGGAGTTTAGTTCTTGATTTCAAAAGTCATTGTGAAAGTTTAGTTGCCAGCTTCAATGCAGGTAAGATAATGACAGAACATTCCCCACCCATGCTGTCCATTATAGGTAATAAAAAATCTTTTAATTTGGTTAAAAAAAAGGACAATTTTTCTTTAAGAAAAGTCTTTTAATTTGGTTTAAAAAAAACCAAATAAGAATCTCTTTTATATTTTCAACTATAAAGTTTCAATTCATGTAAGTTGTTAAGCTGCAGGAGCCAAATAAAATATTTTCCAGAAGCAAAGTTTGTTACAAAAGCCATCATTATTACAACTACTGTGTTTCAGGAAAGTACTAAATTCAAGAACGTTTGGACAACTCATTCTGCATCTCCTATTGCGTATGAAAGAGGAAGAATATACATGGACAATTACCAGTGCTGTATTAGCAGGTAATAAATTTACAATTACAAGGCACCCTGACAGTTTTGAGACTGTGATTCTGTGTTAGACATGTTGCTAACTTTACTCATTCAAATAGCTGCTGTGAATTGAGTGGAATTTACCTAGGAACAAGAAATAACCAGGAGCATAAATCTCTGTTGAATTACATTTAGATGCCCTTGTATTTTAATGTGACACTTGCTTTGATAAAAGAAAGTCTGATCTTACTGGTGCTGTATTAACTTCAGCTTTCAGAGTACTTTAATAAGAGTGGAAGATTATCACCATTTTATAATCTGGCACTGAAAAGCCAAATGAACAGTAGTTCTCTGTAATCTGGTAACTAGCAGTGTACTAAAGAGTGTGTCACAAAATCAGGCAATGTAACAAGCCTCATGTCTATGAATTCTGTATAAAATATGTAAATTATTTTTCATGTGAAAGCACAGCATGCAGAGCATGTGCTGGTTTTTGCTAATTTATTTTGCAGATCAATTCTCTGATCTGATGTACTCTCTTATTCCATCATCAGTTGCAGAGGCACAGGTTAGGAGGCAGCATATGGCAGGGTAGAGGATGGGAAATCTGTGTACACCAGCCCTTGTCCTTGCCCATCCCTCCTGTGAGGGAATTAGCATGGTCTTGGAGAACTGCATTGCTGAGTAAGTTGTGGTCAGAGCAGTTTTGAGACATAGAAGTCATATGATACATAGAAGACAAATTACTCTGTCAGTGTAAACCACTGAGAGTTAATTAAATTAATCTATCACTTACAGCTGAGATCTAAATCTACTTCTATTCCTGCATTGTCTGAATGCTTTCAGTACTGGGTTAACCTGTCTAACATCTTTCAGGTTTATCTTTGTCTCATCCTCTTCCAGAGGGGAAAACTATGCACAGTACAAAGCTTTCATTTTAGTTAGTAGGGTTTGTTTAAAAATATCTGAACCTTTATGTTATGAAAGGCAACATTGGAAGAACTCGAGAGGAAGGTTCCAGGATGATCGTTAGTTTCTGAAATATGCTTTCTTTTTAATGTATATCACTAAAGGAATAATGTTACTATTAAGTTTGTTACTAAAAAAAAACAAAAACAAACCCAAAACAAACAAACAAAACCCCTACCCAAACCATAACACCAAACCAGAAGATATAGAGAAGGTTAACTTTTAAATGTCACATTATATTAACTATTGTTTATTAGGCCTTATTTTGAGAGAAATGTCATTTATATTTACAGAGTAAAAATAAGACATTTAGATTTCTGATCTGCCTAAGGAAAAGGCAGGATTTATAAGACTATATGAAATGACTTGTTGATAGAATGTAGTCTACAAAACAGACTAATGATTATCCATCATTTTCCTCTAGCATTGCACAAGCCCCAAGAATACTTTATCAAAAGTCAAAGTGTGCTAAGTCAGAAAAAATAGAAGATGCTTTATTATTGGAATGCCCACTGGTAAGATTATTTTTTACTAGAGCATTGTTGTGCAAAATAGTAAACGAATATATTTCAGTGAAATATGTTTAGAATAGAGCACTCTTTCCCTGCAAACTACTTTCTCAATGTTTTATGGAGTTAGGTCATTAAAGGTTTGCAACATGTGCTGATTTATATTAACTGAACATTTAGAGGTATACTTCTCTGCATTTCTCAATAGTGCATTCAGATGCTTTTTTGGTAAGTGTTCATGGAAGATTTTATGCCTTTATGCTTATGCAACTAACTCTTAATTCCTTACAAAATAGATTCTGTTTATATTTTTCTTTATTTTTTAAATAGCAAGGACAGTAGCTGGGAGTTTTAGTTTTCACTAGGTCTGTTCACATTAAAAAAACGAAAAAGCAGATGCACTGAAGGCCCATTGAAGCAACTCTACCCAAAATCTGTTCTGCTGTTTCTAATTAATATATTATATAATTTCTCTCCCCCACAAGGAGTTTTTCTCCCATCCAGTGTCTACAGATCTTAGAAATATTAGGCTGATCCTTGAGGTGCATAAAAATAAAGCAACGTAAATACTTTTCTTAGCAGTTACTGTTGAGTTACCATTGAATGTCTTATTTTGCAATACTTCAACAATTTTCTCTTCAAGACTGGTATCAAATAGTTCAATAAGCAGTTACACTTAATTTTTTGCAAGGCAAGGAAGTTTTAAAAGATGTCTTTTCCAGAAAAGGTAACTGTCTTGCAAAAAGTGTGACAACAGATTATTTATGTGATAGATGATTATTTGGCATGGACATGATCTTAGAGATGTTGATGCCATTAGCAGGCTGCTTTCCTCGTTTAGCTTTTGAGGAATGTGTATTAAGTTTTGTGTTCTTCTGACTGTGTCCAAATGTTATGTATCCTCCTGGTACAAATATTTTTCTAATAATTTTTTTTTATGCAGGGGGAAATGTTACCAAGTCCCTCAGATTATAAAGCTTCCCTGATAGTCTTGACGGTGCAGAACTGGCTTCTACGTCTCTCTGCTGATAGTGGAGAAGTACTGGAAAAAATATACCTTGCTGGTTCCTGTTGCAAGTCCTTCAGGTATTAAACAACAGCTAGGCTTTATATAATTAACAGTCATTAGTATTATAGTGGAGAAGGGAAGTCATGTTTATTTTAGTACCATCCTGTGCCTGACTACAGGTTTGTTAGTCTAGAACGTTACCTGGAGTATTGCTCCTGCATGCTCTTACCTGTAGAAGAATTTTATCAACTTAAGTATTATAGTTTTAAATTTGGTATCAAGTTCCACAAAACCTATGCTACTATTTGCTTTTCTCTGACAACTTTACAGCCTTTAATATTGCAATGGCAACATACCAGGAAAGGACCTTTAAGAGCCGTAGAACAAACCTCAACAAACATACAAAAAATACATTTAAATTTTGAGCTGTTTTGAACTTGCTAACATTCTTCTCCATTTTGCTCCTTTAAAGCAGAGCAGTTACTGCTTCTGGTAAACTGCTGCTTTTTTTTTCAGTTCTCGAAAGAAATTATTTCCTTTAGGCTGAAGGATAAGAAGGCGGTGATTATTAAAGGAAGGAGAAAAACTAAGATGGGAAGTGTTCGTGCTTTCCAAATTTTTCTCACAATCCTGTATGAAATAAGCCATCCCTAATTCTGTGGGTTCTGCACTATTGCAAACAGCAAACATCTTGAGCACCTCTTTTGAATCAAATACTGAAGTTTGCGTGGGCATAGGCATCTGCATAGTTATAGTAGATTACATTTTATGTGAAGTAATATATTTACTAATGAATGATTTTTTAAGTGATTAAGATAGGCCTTTCTTGTCACAAATAGGTATCTGAGCTGGGATACTCCTCAAGAGGTAATGGTTGTAAAGACAATTCAGAATAAGCTCCCTGCAGCAGCACGGCAGGTATGTTTGTTGAAAAACTGTCAATTTTACAATATTGATCAAAAAAATGTACAAGTACAAAGATGGAGACATTATAATTTGTTATTATGGCAGAAGATCAAGGTGTCCTACCATTAATAACTATATTCAATATTGTTCTTTTCCAGGCAGGAATACAACAGTCTGTATTGTTTTATCTTGCTGTATTCCAAGTTTTACCTCTTTCTTTTATTGGAATGCTAGAAATAAACAAAAAGGTAAGTTAATTTCTCTATTAAGTTAATCCGTACTGTAGTTCTATGACAGTTCTACTTTAGGCACTTGTTTCAGAATTTCAGAAGCCATACTTACAGCTTGTAAAAGCAGCTGAAACATTAATTAGCAACAGTGTTGTTGTGTCTGGTAGGTGCACTGGGGGCAAGATTCTTAATTCTAATGACCAGAAGAGAAAATGCAAATGCATTCTGTTTTTGGGTTACTCTTTGACATGTAGAAGGACTTTAGCCTTTATTTAGAGCAATCGTTAGAATCAGGAAATCCTAAAGTAGACTTCTTTTCACCTCTTTAACGAAAGACAGATAGGCCTCTGACCCAGTCCTAGTAATAGTCTATGAATTCTATACAGTTACAAATTTTTCAAACTTCTGTTATCACTGTTAATAGATTAACAAATGTAAGTATGTCTTGATTTACCAGTCAAGAGCAAACAACCTTTCTGAGTTCAGTTTGCAACCTGTAAGTAAGAATCTGTATACTGGGAAGCCTAGAGGTAGATGGCAAGTTTTACTGTTCTATTTTAAGCCAAGAAAACCCCGGATACAACTTACAAATGGAACAGTAAAAACATGCAAACTCTTTCTTCAAGGTTCTGTGAGGTACAGTCTCGTTTAGGGTCCAGAGCTATGAGTGAGTTTTAGTTGGTGCTAGGTTGGGTTGAGGCTGTGATTGGGATTGGGCTAGCAAGAGAAGGTGTGGGGTTAAACTTTTTCATTTGGGCCCATGAAAGTTTGGGGGCATTGTGTATTGTTCTGCTAGTATTTAGGACTGGAAAAAATATTACCAGTATCAAAGGTATGCTCAATCTGGTTAGCAATGGTGTGCCAGATTCATCACGGTCATAGTAGGCAAAACATCTGAAAGAGTAATGCTTCGGCTGTGTCTGTGCCAAGTACTCATGAGAGAAATTGTTACAACTGGGAATAATGGCAAGGCAGAATTTGGGATGTGAGAATACACCCAGCAGTAGAAGCAACGAGTGAATGCAATGCCAAGCCTGATATAACTATTAGATTAGATTAGGGTTACTGTTTAACACTGCAGAATGCACCCTCATGCATCAGCTTTACTGAAATGTTACACAATAAATTCTGAGTTCAGAGTGGCTAAGGTCTTAAAGATACAAAGTAGACTTCAGAGTTGGAAGACTATTAAGGTTTGTGTCTGGAAGACACTGGGACCTAAGCTAACAAATGCATTGAAAGAGCCATAAATCTAAATAAAAGGTAAAGTCTCAGGATTGAATATATCTTTCAGAACCAAACAGACCACAAGATCACTGATAGTGTTAAGATGTAGGAGTCTTGCAGCTTTTGGGTTTCTTTATATTTTTTAATTGTTTTTAAGCCTGTTTTAACTGGTTTAATTGCTTTTTTCACATAGTGAGTCAGATTAAAGAAATGAAAACTACATTTCCAAGCATACCTATTGGAAAAATTAGAAACATCACATGTTGTTATTCATTAAATATGAAGAATTAGTTTGTGGGGGTTTCTCAGTGATGTGTTAAACAGTGGCACAAATGAATACTGCATAATTATTAAAAGCGTCTCATGTTGTGTCTAATTTGGATTCAGAGAGGATCCTGTACTCTGTGACAGCTGGATAATGTAGTTTTGGTACAGCTTTACAAAGAGCTGTGATTAGACTAGTATTTTACCCTGGTGATAAAGAAAGAAGATCTGAAATCAGGACTTGTAGATTGAGTTGCTAGTTCTGCTAACATTCTTGTGACATGCTGGATAATATAATCTATTCATGTATGATAATATCAGGGTAACATGGTATATATACTGAGAACTGATTAGGGAATTAATCTGCTTGCAAATTATGACTAATCTAACCTTAGGTGTTACAGCAGTGCAAAGTATTACAGAAACACAGCAGGACAGATAAATTACAGAAAACTTCATGAACTTAAAACACTGATCATAGGGTTTGATCAGAATAAAAAATGAAAGTGATTGCAAAATTAAGGACATAATGTCACTATTTTGCATTGTCTCAATTATTTCTTCTCTAATAGAATGCATTTTGCTTCCTTTCATTCCAGATATTTGGTAATAGTGTGACAGATGTTGCTGTTTCTAATGGAATCCTGATTGTAATGTATAGCGTGGGTCTGGTCAGACTCTATAACTTCAAGGCCATTTTGGAACAGGTAATGAAATACATAAGTTTTCATACAGTGCGTGCTATTTTGGGGCAACAAGTCATAAATATTCACATAATGCTGCATAGGTACATGGGGATTGTGTCAAAGGATAGAGTTCCTGCCTAAATTTATTTATAGTCAGAAGATGTAAATGGATACACTATCAGAAAATTCTGCCTGCACTAGTTACAGGTGGCAAAACGTGGGGGGGTCAGACGGCACTTCAGAGGAGTTATGTAGACGTTAGACCAGATGTGCTCCTCTTTACACACCTAGCCTGTAGCTTTAGATGATTGTTAAGGCCAAAAAGTGGTGGGTGTGGAAGATTGATCTCAAACAGAACTGCAGGGAGCCTTTGGATTTTATATCCTTCCAATCAAAAATCGAACGTTGATTCAAAAATAAGACCTCGAGCAGTATCTAACAGGATAAAGAATGCAGTAGCAATGGAGCAGTAAAACTAAACAGTAAGTAAATATGCATCAATAAAGCTAAATTGTTGTGTGTTATTTTAGTTCATGGAACAGCCATTTGATTTGGGACAAGAATTCAACTGGAATGGTCAGGTGGGAGTTGTAGGAAAGTATCCATTTGGTCTTCCATGTAACATTAAAATAACAGGTAATTATGATCTTTCTATTATCTTGGCTGGTGGCTTTTATGATTTAATTATTACTTATTTCACACCAAGAAAATTAAAATTATTGTGCTTATATTGTGCCATAGCTATATTTCTGGATTTACATTACAGTAAAAACGTGGTTTGCTTTAGTTGTAATTACAATTATAGTTATATAAGACTACCTAGAAAACTATTACAGCAACTAAGCTGTCTGAAAAACTTCATAAGCAATGCATGAAATGGAAACTTCTTCCTCATTTCTGAGACACAACTGCTCTTGGGAAAGAGGAAGGGCTAGGATAGCTGCTAGTAGCACCCAGAAACAGTACATGGTATGTAAGCAAACATGTGAGAACATTTAATCTAATTTGCAGAGGAAATTTAAGAAAACTGAATACAATTTGTCTGACTTGCATTTTGGTAATTCTAGGTTGTCAGAAATGTGCCAGTTTCAGTAAAATTAACTCCTGAGAACAAATTATTAAAAACAATTCTTATGCCTTAAATCATTAACTTAAAAATGTTCTGCTTTGTGTAATGACTATAATTTCTCTGAAATCAGACAGTGATTTCTGTTGGTGCATTTAAGATTAGAATTTGGTTCTAAGATTCTTAATGAGTGACCAAAGACTGAGACTTTCTTTGAAACAAAAATACATTCTCACAAGTTCACACTCAAGGCACTTGCAAAAAAAAAAAAGTAAAGAAAGAAAAAAAAAGTTGATTTCACAAATATCAAAGAATGCATTCTTTTAGTTCTTTAATTTTGAAGGTTTTTCTATTAAATGTTTTTTACAGGTGATTGTCCACATAAAAAATGCTTTTGATCTTTATATTCTTCAACTGTCAGATAATAAGAAACAAACCATCCAGATTTACATAAAAATGAGGGAATACATACAATACAGACTTACACGGTAAAGGCTTTCAGTTAAAATGCAATGTTTTATCAACACAAAGTAATAGGTTGCTATAATTGATGTCTCAGTTTCTGCAAAGGGAAATTTTTCCTCTTTTTTCTCTCTCTCAGTCTGCGAAACCTCAATTTAATATTATGGGCCCTGTGGAAAACATGCTTATAGATCATTGTAGTTTTTAGTTTTGAGATTTAAAACCAGTGTACTGGAAAAAACATTTTTGATCTTGAATTCTATGCAAGAGCTTGTGGAAGTTTTGAACTCATGACACACATTTGCCATGGCTGCTCTTTGCAGATACTTGTATTTCTGTGGGTTTCGAGTTGTTTTCTTCTAAGAACAAGATGGCCAAATGCTTCAGTGAGCAAGATCTTAAGATCTTATTTCAGAGTTTAGGCTTGTATTTATTATAACTTAATTGTGTGTCATTTTCCTTCTTATTTTAGTCCTAGCCTCCCTACAGAAATTGCCTGAAGGGAAGGCCATTATTACAGTACAGTTTTTGTGGTGTGAGATACCCAAAAAGAAGTGTATAGAGATCAAAATTATGTACTTACCACTTCATTTACACCTGTTAACTGGTGAGGAATTTGATTTTGGTCACAGTGGAAGGAATGGAAAAGTACCTATAAATCTTCATTATGTAACTTCTAAAGGTCCAGAACTTAAAACTAGTTTGATTTATTTTTAGAGGATACAGTAATTTCATAAGAAAACAAGGAAGAAGATACTTTGTAGATTTTTTTTTTTTAGAGCAAGTACTTATTAGTGCTGCCATGAACTACTTTATGACTTTATTTTAGATGAGTGTGGAAAGTTTTAAGGAAGTGAACAAAGAAGCTCAACTGGAGATTGAAAACTGGCAGGACTTGGGAAAGAACTTGCAAACAATAAAACGGGTGTTAAGCAACGAGAGCGAGTGACACACAGCAGGAGAGTTGAGGCAGCAGAGTGACATTATCACAGTGGTTTAAGTGGCTATGATCTTGCAAATCTTTGCCAAATGAACATTAAAAGAAAGGCATATTTTATCAGCAGTCTATACTGCTCAGGATTGATATACTACTTAATTGTACCATACATATACATATTTAATTGTATCATTTAGTCCATCTACCAGAATTTTTGAGGAACCTTGCTAGATATTTTATTTTAAAAGTTGGTAGGACTAAATGTTAACAAATTTTCTTAACTCATTTTTCATTTTCTGACTGATTTTAATATCAGTAGGTCCTCTGCTTATGCTTCCATCTTCAATATTCTCTACATTTTCAGCAGATGCTTGAGTTTTTTATAACTTTGTTATATCTTGCACAGAATCTCCCATTTCCTATATGTTAGTCCAAAAGACAGCTAGACAACTAGCCACTTTCCAGCTCAGGAAAGACTTCATTTCCATTGGCAGTGAACTAATTCCATTCAATCTATATGCTGGAAACATGAACAAAGGAAGAAGAGAGAAGCGAGAAGCGCTCTGTAAACACAGTATCTCATGTCATGTGACATCTCAGCACCATTGGCTAGAACCTGGATAATTATCTAGACTAAGCAGGATAAGAACAAGTCTAAATTTGGATAAAACCTTTGTCACACAGGAGTCCAGATAAGAACATTGCTCTCCTCACAGTAATTCAGTTTGTGTTTTTATACTCTGCCAGTTTAAATGCCTCTTGAAACTGCAGATTTTCTCCACATTTTGTCAGGTTTTTTCCCCAGCTTTTCTTTGTATTGTTAGAAAGAGCTGATCTTCAGTCTAAAATTGATTCAGTTATGGCAGCTGTAGAAATGGCTTTAATTTAGCTCGTTGTCAGAAGTTGTAAAGTTCTGTGCAGTCCATTTCGTTCAAAGATGCTTCTCTCATTTAATGAACAGAAGACTTGTAAGAATGGCATATTACATCTCTATAATTTATCCCAACTGAACTGAAAAGGAAAACTGAAAAAACATTAATTACAAAAATTTCCATATTTTTATTGATTATAGATTGCATTCATTGTGGTCCACACTATTTTGTTGTATTACGCAAAAGGAGAAAGAATATTCAGATTCTGCATTTAATGCTGTTATTTGAGACTGCTGCTTGCTGTTTCCAGCTATTTATGGCTATTTTTCCCAAGAGAATATTGACCCTTTTGATATGGTCTTTTGATCTGTTCATGTGTACATCCTTTCTCAGTCAGATGAACTGGATTAATTTTAATTATTTGCTATGACTTTGCTCATCCAGCTCATTTGGAGTGAAGTAAGTCAAAGGTATTAGAAGAGCAGTTCAGCATCAACGTCTGAGAAGGCAGTAACCCTCCACAGGGAGCTGCAGATTTGTGCTTGGACATTAGCTGAGGTAGCATAGCTGGTGCTGGAAAAGAGTTCACAGCCAATGCACTTCCACCAGTCTTCAAAAGTTCTGAACAATTAGTAGCTTTACTGGAATTTAGAATTGTAAGGATCAATGGAATTATGATTGTTCTGCTACTAATGGTGTTAACGTTACCGAATATTTGCAGATACCCCACCTTTGCTATTTGAAGCATCTTCTCTGGAGAATGCATTTCAAATTGGAGGTTACCCTTGGCATTATATCATCACACCTAACAAGAAAAAACATAAAGGAGTCTTCCATATTTGTTCTCTGAAAGACAATACTTTGGTAATATATTCAGATAGCAGCTTCTCTGAAATTAATGTGTATCATGTCTGTCTTCATCTCTTATTCTGAGTAGCATTTGAGGTAATAATACCCTTGTTTTCCAATGTGGTGCTTTTGCAGGGATCACCCCAGAGTATCAAATCAGCTATCCCATGGAGTCATGTGTAAAATGTTTCCTTCTGAATTAGTACTGCTTCTCATATTTCCTTCATTCCAATGTAATAGTGGCACTGTCAGGTCTACACAGCAAAGTGTACACAGCAAACTGTAACATCTTAATGCACTTCTGCGTAGTCAGCCTACCAAATGCTGACTAAAGAATTATTTTAAATTTTAAGAAATTGCAGAATAAATTTCCTTAATGTTTGTAGTTTATTTTTGATTTTTGCCTTCTGAATCTCCCTAGAAAGACTTCATTGCTCAGTTTAATCCCTCTCTGTCCCTAGAAAGGTTTTATGACTCAGTTTAATCTATTCCTAATTATTTTTACGTACTGTTCTTCAGATATTCTTTTGTGTGAGCTCTCTATCTCGGCTTTTATTTTTAACCTGGAGTTGACCTGAAGATTCTGTAATACAAGCAGCTTCTAGGCCTGTTCAGAGTTCTTGACTAAATAAGTCTCATCTGTAGATGTCCTTATCTCTTTTGCTAGCCTGATCAAATCAATGATTTCCCCTCCTATGTCTTATTTTCAAAACTGTTGTTTCACAACTCTAGCTGAAGATCAATTTTGATTAAAATGGACATGTACAATCCTTTCTTATCTGTTTTTTTCTATGTGGGTTCATATGTTTGAAAATTTGAATGATCAATGTCAGCTAAATTTACCAACAAAAAGCTGCTGCCAGAGTCCCAAGGTTTTAACCAGCTTGCATCTGATTGCTGAAATCACGAGCTGTCCCAGGCTTACATGCTCCACAAATAATTTGCACAAAAGAGGCTAAGCCTGAGGTTTGAAGCTCAAGTCAAACTTTGTGCTAATGTTTGTCTCATGTCTTGACACATCCCATGTCTTGGATATTCAGATTGCTGAAATTGTTGATGTGTTTGCAGAGTGTAGGCTAAATCTTCATTTTGCTTAGTTTCAGGAGAGAAAGGACTATATATAGCTAAGATACAAGGTCATTGCTTATTGCATATTAAAAATGTTAAAACTGTTCCATGGAATGTCTTGAGAATTGGAACTGAGTCTTTTTATTATTGTAATTATTATTGTTCCACTGCCATCCTTTCTGGTCATGATTAGGAGCAATACTTAAAAACCTTCAGAGGTATGTAGTGAGGAGCTCAGTATTTCCTCTTTAATTAGATCTGTGAGACTTTCAAAATACTAATATTCCTTTTCTTCTTCAGGCAAAAAATGGCATACAGGATATGAAATGCTGTTCACTTGAACCTGACTGGATATATTTCCATCCAGATATGTCAGGTAGAATAATCCACGTGGGACCAAATTTGATAAAGTATGAGCTTCTTTTTTTTTTCAAATCTTATTTTCATCAGAGCAGAGGTTGCATAACTGCACAAATTCAGTAGTTTGACAGTTTGCAGGCCCAAGCACTCACTAAACTATAGAAACTGTAAAATGTCTTAAATTTGTCAGAAGTTCTGGTAGAAACATCTGCAGATTTCTATGTGATGAATGTGGGCACTGGAGGCCAGAGTCTAGATTTTTATATGAAAAATATTCAAGGACCACTGTGTTAAAATGTCATAAACATAAATTACAAAAATAATTAATTTCCATTACACTTATTTCTGATGTTTTTATGTACACAATTTAAAAAGATTATACAGAAGTGTTGTAGTAGGCAGATTAGAATACGTGACTGACTTTGTAATTTCTGTTTCTTTTGTAGAGTCTTGAAGCTTAAGGAAGTTAAAAATCGTACAGATCAAATGGAGATTGCAGAAGATTTTACGATTGTAGCCAACAGAGAAAACTGTGTGAGTTTAGTGTCTGAGATCACAATGTATGATTTTGAGCAATACACGGGGGTTTTGCATATATGAGTAATCACTGTGTTTTATGGACTCAATTCAAGTTTTATTGAAAGACATTCTGTGTCGTCATCAGAGTTTAAAAAAATTTTTGAAAACAGTAACATTTTCAGGATAGATTTCTGAAACCTCCAGTCTTTTCTTTAGTTTTCAGCATTCTTTATGGTGTGCAGTATCACATGTATCATGGATATAAAACATACTTAATAGATGATAACAGATTTCCTTCAAATGAAGGAGCCACAAAGTGATAATTGTGTGCCTCTCTGGTGCTCAGGTAAGTTGATCATACAAATGCTAGAAATGTTTCGAGTCCCTCATAACTTAGGGGTAGGTCTTCATAAGACAACAAAGACAATACGTTGCTTCCAAAAGTCTGTTTCTTTTCCTGGCCATGCACACCTGTCACTCTCTTGTGACAGGTTTGGCATTCACCTAACTCTTGGGGAGCCAAAGCAGTGCACTACAATAATAGAAAAGGTGAGTGCTTGTCTGCTTGCTTGGTGAGCTGAACTGGAGCAGAACAGAACTGAATCATCAGTGGATCAGAAGAGTGCAGAAAGGTAGAATCAAGTGGTGAGGAGATGATCTAAACCTACTGGTAGGACTGAGCTCTTAAATCACCTCAGTTGTTTTGTGAAGTCTTTTGTGATGTGAAATCACAAAGACAATCTAACATCAAAAAGGTTAAAGAGCACACTGATGAAGAAAATTTTTTTATAATGGCTGGAACTGTCATTTTGCTTCAGCAGACAAGGTTATGTCTTACCTACTAGCAGGTTTTTAGTTTGAGTACTGTAAGATGCCTGGAAATCAGTCATACTAAAATTTTGAAGCTTTTGCAGAAAAAGGTTTGTGTATTAAAAATCTACACAAACTCAGGAGTAAATCTTCCATTGAATTCAGAAACTGAAAGCTAGGTCATCTAATGACTTGCCATACTGTTTTTTTAGGGTTTGTTTGGGTAACTTCTGTTACAGTAAGAACAAAGAAATATGAGTTTTAATCCTGTTTGTGCTGTGCCTATTCCTTTTGACTTCCATTGTGACATTGATAACCCAATTTTGAATGTTTCTTGTGGTAAAGAAGCCCAGTGGAAGCAGCCGGGTGGTTTAAGATGCTGCTTTTCCCATCTTCTGCAACTAAGAGTTTAAGAAACAAGCTGATGGTGACTTTGCTGTGTCAATTCTCATTACAGCATCTTAGTTTCAGACACTTCTGTTCTAAAAATTATGGTAGCTGAGAACCTTTGCCACCTCTACAGGACGTCCCGAGAACTTCTGAATATGAGTAAATATCAATAATACCTCAATTAAAGTCACTGAGTTCATGAAGCCTCATAAAGAAGCCATAGCAGCACGAGGGGGATGCACAGCTAACGAGTGAAACAAGGTCTGAGAGATTAAAACAAGCTCAGAAAGCAAAATATAGGAAATTGTCAAAAAGATGGAAACTAAAATGCTCTGAAGTCTAGAGACACTTCTCTATGTTTCTCCAAAGGTGAACAACACTGTTACTGTAACAGCTTCTGGTCGAGTGGTGAAAAAGCGTTTTAACTTGCTGGATGATGACCCAGAACAAGAGGTAACTGATGCAGTGAGTAAGACCACTTCATGGATTATTTTAGATGCTTAGCTATCCAGAAGTCATTCTTGTTTCAGGTGCAGTGGGTATAACCATTAGCTATGTATGTCTTTGCGTTCTTTATTCCTCTTCTGTGTCTGTCTTCTCAACTTCTAATTGCTTCAAATGCTCTGTCATCTTTTCTTCTTAGTTGACATTTGAGCTATGGATTTTCTCTTTCTTGCAAGAACTGCTCTTATGCCCCACGATACCATCATAACTCCATGTGACTTCAGTGGCAAAGAAAGGAGATATTAATGTGACAAACCATTACTCTTTTCTCCATTCAAATATCTCCTTTACATGTTTCTTACAAAGCATTTTATGAAATGAAAGACATTTTTTTGTCTCTGCTTCAGGTTCCTCTTGTCTTTGATGTAATGTCTCTAAACTGCATTTTCCTTTCCCAGTTACTTTGATTAGATTGCAGGAAAAGGTATTTAACACTTTTCCTTTAAGTAACTGCTTCTTGAGAATGAAAACACCACATGCCTTGGTGTTGAGTCTTCAAGAGGTTGTGAAAAATATTTTTTAGCTCTCTATCTAGAGCTGGAGCTGTAATTTTCATAAGCACAACAGTTAAAATGCATCAGTTTCTGGCAGTCACTTCTTTTTTTCTGAGAGAATACGGTAAAACTACAGCACAGTCCAATATAACCCTTAAGGGTCTGCAGTTCATTTCTATCCACTTTTTCTTTTAACCATAATAAAAATAGTCTATACACTTTTTTTCCCCTGCTGTTACACTTTACTTGGGATTCCAGTAGATGTTTTTACATTATGGAAGAAAAAGACTGGCGTGAATTTAAAGAGTATGTCACAGTGAAATAAAGGCAATTAAGTTAGTTCACAGTCTTTACATTTTGGTCTCAGTTCTTCACTGACACACTCTGTGGAGCAAGAGAGAGCTCTGAACAGAACATAGAAATATTCATGTGAATGGAATTACCCTAATATACTCATCCTCTCAAAACCAGTAAAGGTTTTAAGCTACAGTGTCTCTACCATGTCTGCATCAAGAGCTTAAATATATTTCTTCTGCCACTTTAGAAGTACCTTTTTTCTATATTCTGTATGTTATATATAAAAATACGTCTACTTGCATATTAGGATTCTTCAGAATATCACTTTATTTTCTCCTGCTTAAGGAATTTTACTGAAATACACTGGACAACTTGTGTTGGGAAAGATGCCTGTTGGGTATCAGTGTCCCAAAGTTTTCTTTGTCAGACCAGAAGACTTAAGAACTAGAATCTTTCCAATTCTGCTTTCACCAGAAAGAAAAAAGAGCTATTCAATTTAGGTGGAGGGGAATGTGAATTTACGGTTGATTTCTAAACTTGAGGTTTTGTTTTTCCTAAGACATTCAAAATCGTGGATTATGAAGATGAACTGGATTTATTATCCACTGTGGCAGTTACTCAGATAGGAGCTGATGGAAGAGCTCACCTTGATTTTCATTGTAATGAACATGGGATTCTCCTTAAGAGTATTCCATTCCGGGAGTCCTGGGATGTGGTGAGGAAAATTCCTGTCTTTTGTTCACACTGTCTCTTCCCTATACTTGTTTACCTGCCATTTTTGTTCAGATTTGAAGCAAATATCTAAATAGTGTTGCCAAGGGATGAGATTTGTATAAAATCTCATTATTAAAAATAATAATTACAAAATCACAAACTCTAAAATAATTACAAACTCTAAAATTGTAAGTATTCCATCAGACAGTAGCTCATTTATCTGAAAATCTCCATTATTTGAAATTATTATTCTTTTTGTTTGTTGATTTGTTTGGGTTTTTTGTTTGGGGAAAGGGCTGTCCTTACGTATTTCTGAAGTATTTATCAACTTAAATACTCACCCTATGGCTAGTTTCATCAGATTAACTTTACAACTTGTAAATAATTTCACTACCTTAGCTTGAACTACTCATGTGTAGAATTAAGCATGGACCTCCCTGTGTGTGTATTTGGAGAGATGGAGTGGGCTGTTCATACAGTCCAAGTTTAGGTGGACATCCAACTTAGATGGTCTGAAATTTTCAGCACCTTTGCACCTCTTTTATCATTGACTGCATAGGCAACTTGGTATCTAATTGCAGTTAGATGCCTAAAATAGGTATGTGAGAAACCTCTCAAAGTTTTAAAATGCTGTCCTTTATCTGAAAGGGCAATCTCTGTGCATCCCCACAAAAATCCTGCCTGATCATGGAGGTCACCAAAGTTAAATATTTTTTGTTCCTCATGGAAAATGGTATGGATATTAACAAGTTGTGGAAACAGAGACTACAATCCAAATTTTTTTTCTCATTTCAGACTTACAGTCATGAAGTTTACTTCGACAAAGACCTTGTATTACATATAGAACAGAAGCCTAACAGGAGATTCAGTTGTTATGTTTACCAAATGGTCTGTGATACTGCAAAAGATGATTAATGTTCAAGTCATGAAAAAACAGAAAGTGTTTTGTAAAAAAGGAGGGAGAACTTTTGAATATATTTAAACCATAACAACTACAGAGACTTCAGTGTGGATGTTATTTAAGGACTCCATACATAGAAAGTAGTCAGCTACTGTTTTTCTGGCAGGATTTAATCGTAACATTTTGTACTGCTACAAGAGGTTTGGGTTTTTTTTTTCTTTGTAACACTGTACACTTGCCTGTAGTTCATAATGGCTCTTCATGTATTCACCAGTTCATTAATGCTAGGTGCAGCATTTATTGCTTCTCTTCAGCAATAGGATTGAAATACTGGACATCAAGGAGAAAGATGTGGACTTATTGATTATCTGCCATCTGCCGTGATCTGTCTTACATAGTTTTACCTATGCAACTCTAATATAGACTTTCAATTAAACAAAGTATATAAAACTGTCTAGGATAAATTTTATATGTAGCATGAAAATTGCAGTGTTACCATTAAACCACTTAGACAAAAACCTTCTCTTGCTTTTGTGTGAGAAATAAAATCACGCAGGTTTTCTGGTTGTGTATGTGTTGGTTTAAAGAGAAATATTAATCAATTATGTATTTTACTATCTTTTTAATATGTATTTTTACAGATACATATAGCAGTTCTCTGTTTCTCCCTGTGCCAAGGGTCAGGAGTTGTCAGGAGTCTGAGCCAAAGCTCCCAGCTGCTCACCCTGATCACTGTGTGCATCCTGCCTGATGCATGGGAGTGCCATGTGGTATATTCAGAATCTGCAGAGTGTGGGCTTTCATTTTAAATTAAAAAGCACCCACAACAAAACTCAGGCTGTAACTTCATGGTGATAAAGAGTGTTTCCAAATGCAAGCCAAAGATGGGCTCAGGAGAACAATAGCTCTTGGAGGGCATGACCAACATCTAATTTCTCACTACTCCACCATCATCATGACTGTGGTAATTCTAAATGGAAATATTCTTTTTACTCAAAGCTTTACTAATCAAGCATGGATCATTCTAGAAGATGCAATAGGGAAGAGCTCTAGAAGAATGATAAAAATTTTCTATTTTGAGTTTTTAGAAAAAGTGTAATGCAAGAGAAGAAGTGAACTACAATTGTGGAATGAAAGAACAACACAAAATGGACATTTATGAAGGTAATGAAACAGCAGTAGTAATAAAGGGCAGCAGCAACACATAATTTCCACCCTGGCTTCTGTAAATTTTCGCTTAGTGTCCAGGAAAGAACACCTGTCCATTACCTGCTATTTTATAAGTAACTACATAACTAATATATGAAGGTAATGAGTCTATAAGGCAGAAGACCCAAATCTCAAGCAGTTACTTAAGATGCATTTTATGCTCATTTCTGTTTGGGTTATTGAAGCAGTTCCTCCTAGAAAAAGACATTTAAACTTCATTGTTTATTAAATACTGCAAGTGCTATTCATGTAGATCGGCTCTAGCTTTCAAGGGTTTGCTATACTTCCCAGTGGCTTATTCTTAAATTAGTACAGACTTCTGAATTGATATTCTGGTAAATCTATAAATGTACATCAGTATCCAAAAATGCAGCAATTTGTAATGACCAAAAGGTAGCCCAGACTTTGATGAAGATTGTGGGATCTCAGGTAAGAAATTCTATCACTCTAAACACTCGCCGTGTTGCTGCACTGCGGATAATGGCAGATGTTCCATCCTGGAAGATCACACATAGACATTTTCATTCAGAAACAGTAGTATTTTGCTTTAAAACACCTTGAAAGCTATTTAAGAATAAAGAATCCCCAGTAATTAGGCCTGAGCACTTCTGTCTTCAGACCCTACTTACTAATGGGCTGGAACACACCAAAGAAACAGAATCAAGCTGTGAGTTGCCTTCTGTACCTATGCAGAGACCCAGAAAATTCTAAAAATAAACTTCTGTTTAAATGGGAGGAAAATCCTGACCACAACCCAGTAGTTTTTTACACTGTTAAAAAAATAACTGTATCTAAACCAAATAAAAATACCTGCATGCTTGGTGGCAGCTCACTTGAATCAGCTGCTTTTACTTGAAGTTACATTTTTAAACTCGTCCACCAGTAAAAACCTACTTTGCCAGGAGACTTCATATGTAGGCATTTTTTGGTCACTGTTGCTGGCAGAAGTGTACTATTGTGCAGTGTCAAATTGATAATTTGAATTAATGCATTAGATCTGACTTGTAGACCTATATTTTGATGTCCATTTATGATGATTCTAGAGCACTTAGGTTTCTCTTTTTCATAATGTAAATTATATGCTTGGAAATCTCCTACACAATCTGAATAATTCAGTGTGCTAAAGAGTAACAGTGTTTGTAAAGTGGAAAAGTTCTGAGGAAACCCATGTGGTTTCCATTACAGAGGAAAAAATATTCTTGTGCACATGCCCAGCATAATTATCTGCAAACACCAAAATGTGACATTAGTATAAGAAAAGAGGGGGAAAAAAAGCTTTGAAAAAACAGAAGTAACTTTTTCAAATGTAGTTTTATTTCCCATTTCTAAATTCAGAAATTAACATTAATAAAATAGAGAAGACAAAAATTTTCTTCTCATAGGCAGTAGCTTAATGATCAAGAAACCCATTTACTGATAGTTTTTTGTTTGACAAAAGTCAGACTAAGGAACTATTGGCATGAAATTGTGAGTTCCCTTACTTCCTGGGTATTTCAGAGGGTGCTTAGCACTCATGCCATGGCTTCCAGAGTCTGCAGATAAAGCCTCAATTAATTATTTCAAATGCAATCTCAAGTGTATATTTAATAAAAGATCAAAGCTGAAAAGTTCATGCTTCTATTATTTTCACTAGCACTAGATGCGCAAGGAGAAGATTATATATACGTATATAGAGAGATGTAAATATATATGTGAAATGTTAATGTGAATAAAGACTCAAATGTGTATTTCAAACAGAGTTGAAGGGATCTTACTCACTTTTGCCACTTAGGTGATTTCACCCAAATTTTCTGCATTTTCAGTGTGGAGAAATGTTTCTTTATTCTTTTGTTTGTTTGTTTCTGGATATGTCCAGTTAATTTAGCAGCACAGTTTCTTGCTCATTTTATTCCCATTTTGTATTTTATTTTCCTTTTGTTATTGAGAAAAATACCATTTATATTACTTCACGTTAACTGAAGACTGCCAAAAACTCACCAGCAAGAGATTTGTTTTCCTTATGGAGCTGTAACAGCTATCCCACATGATGGAACAACTAATAAATTAATTTGCTTCCCAGTTATGATAAAGATTGTTAATAGGAATACCTGCTAGAAAGGACATCTGCATAGGGTGGCATGTAGGCTGTTTCCTGAAAGAACAGTTGGGAGGAACTGCTGTCGGCTGCTCAAAGCAAGATCTCTGGGCACTCTGCCTGCAAATGGCAAAATGTTGGTCTAGGAAGTAAAAAGATCATGAACTAGCGAATTCACGTTGGATTTCACGTAGTGTTGTATGATACAAGCTTTTTGCTGTTGCCAGAATGAACAAAATCTAAATGATAAGAGCAAAAAAGGGGAAAAGGTAGTAAAAATGTGGTTTTCTAAGTCTGAACCACAAAAGAACATGGAACAGCAACTGAGTTCTTTCCTGACTGCCAAGTATTGCTGCAGCCACAGTACAAAACTTTTAAAGCTTTTTTTTTTTCTGGAAGATGTGTGAATTGATCTGATATGTATGTTGCAATGGCTCACCAATAATAATTGCATTTAATCAACATGATTTCAGGTGTCTCTGATACACAGACTGATATGTTATGAGTACTAAAAGAAGGAAACAAGAATTCCAGTATTTAAATCAGTTAGAGATATTTAAGGGAACATATTTTTTTGCAGCTATTTCACAATCTTAGATTTTCAGAGAGGATCACTTGAAGCTCTCTGGTTGCTACACTTGGCATTTATGCAATTATAACTTTAGTATTCATTTCTGCTTTACTGAAGTTACAAACTGATGACCCAAATAACCTTCAGGAGCTCCAAAACAATTTTATGTCAGTGCATTCTAATGTTTATAGATTGAACAAATTTAAAGTAGTTGAAGTGTTTTCTTCAGCTAACAAAAGATTACATGAACTGCAAAAATAGGCTGGGTTTCTTTTTTTTAATAAAAAGAACTAGGTATCGTAGCTGAGTGAAGAATTACAATGATGCAATTGTTAAGAACTGCTTGGTATAGCTTAATAACTCATTTAGTAAACTGGGAGTACAAATGCCTTGTTCCTGCCTGTGTGGAGAAGGAAATTGAGTTCTTGGGAATATATTTTTAAGGAAGAGTAAGTGCACATTCTTCTCGGGAAGAGAAAAAGGAAGCATGGAATGCGAATCTAAAATTCACTGGTATTACTCCACTGAGTGGTTAAAGAGCTCTGGCTTACTTGAGATGCTGCAGGAGAAGCAATGCATTCCACATGATAGGACTGCAGGCTCTCCAGACAGCCCCCAGTGAGAGCTGTTTGCCAGCAGACAGACAGGAAAATTATTCTGTGAACATGTTTACTTGGATGCTCCACATTTAGACTCATACACGAGCAGTCTTCCTGATTATATCTGAAGTTAGTCTCAACCTTGGGTATGTAACGTGTGTGTTGGCTGCCTCTAACATGCACCTTGCAGCATGGTCGCAGCACATTTCCATGCTCTGGGGCATTGGAGATCTAGTAAACTGAATGTTGACACCACGCTCTTCCTAGTTTAGCCCTTTATAATGCCACTGCCCTTCTTTGTGCTACCTGGAAGCTGGCTTGATTTTATGACTGTCTTAGAAACATTTTGTTTTGTGGACTAAAGCAGCCTACTTCCAGCATTTCTACTTCAACAAAATCAGTTGAAGTCAGTAACAATAAGGTTGAGTGCCTGTGGATCAAAATCAGGGGGAAGGCCAACAAGGCTGATGTGCTGGTGGGAGTCTGTTACAGACCACCCAACCAGGATGATGAGGGTGATGAATTATTCTACAAGCAGCTGGCAGATGTCTCAAAATTGCCAGCCCTCATTCTCGTGGGTGACTTTAACCTGCCGGATGTCTGCTGGAAACTCCACACAGCGGAGAAGAGGCAGTCTAGGAGATTCCTAGAGCATATAGAAGATAATTTCCTGCTCCAGCTGGTAAATGAGCCTACTAGGGATGGGGCCCCACTAGACCTGCTGTTCTCAAACAGAGAGGGACTGGTGGGAGATGTGGTGGTTGGAGGCCGTCTGGGGCACAGTGACCATGAAATAATAGAGTTTTCAATACTCAGGGATGCAAGGAGGGCCATCAATAAAACCTCTACACTGGACTTCCGCAGGGCAGATTTCGACCTATTTGAGAAGACTAGCTCAGAGTGTACCCTGGGAAACAACCCTTGAAAACAAAGGAGTCCAGGAGGGATGGACATGCTTCAAGAAGGAAGTCTTGAAAGGACAGGAGCAGGCTGTCCCAGTGTGCTGAAAGGCAAGCTGGCAGGGAAGACAACTGGTCTGGCTGAACAGGGAGGTTTTGAAGGAAATTAGGGTAAAGAAGAGAGCCTACCGATTATGGAAAAAAAGAGCTGGCTACTCAGGAAGAGTTTAGGAATATAGTTAGGTCATGTAGAAAGAAAATTAGAGAGACAAAGGCACGACTTGAACTTAATCTCACCACTTCTGCGAAGGATAACAAAAAGTCCTTCTACAGATACATCAAGAACAAAATGAGGGGCAAGGAAAACCTCCATTCTTTATTGGACAGAGGTGGGGATATAGTTATCAAAGATGAGGAAAAGGCTGAGGTATTTAACACCTTCTTTACCTCAGTTTACCTCAGTTTTCAACAGTAAGAAAGGTTGTCCTGAGGATAGCTGGCTTCTGGAGCTTGTAGAAAGAGACAAGAACCTGAATAGCCCCCCTGTAATCCAGGAGGAAACAGTCAGCAACTTCTGAGCCACTTGGATCCCCACAAGTCTGTGGGACCAGATGGGATCCATCCTAGGGTGATGAGGGACCTGGCGGGAGAGCTCGCCAAGCTGCTCTCCATCATTTACCAGCAGTCTTGGCTCACTGGGGAGGTCCCTGATGATTGAAAGTTGGCAAATGTCACACCAATCCACAAAAAGGGGTGGAAGGAGGACCTGGGAAACTACAGGCCCGTCAGCCTGACCTCAGTGCCTGGCAAGGTTATGGAGCAGATCATCCTCAGTGCAATCACACAACACCTACAGGATGGACAAGGGATCAGACCCAGCCAACACGGGTTTAGGAAGGGCAGGTCCTGTCTGACCAACCTGATCTCCTTTTATGATCAGGTGACCCACCTGGTGGATGAGGGGAAGGCTGTGGATGTGTCTACCTGGACTTCAGCAAAGCCTTTGACACCATCTCCCACGGAATACTCCTGGAAAAGCTGGCAGCCCATGGCTTGGACAGGGGCACTCTGTGCTGGGTTAGGAACTGGCTGGAGGGCCAGGCCCAGAGGGTGGTGGTGAACGGTGCTGCATCCAGTTGGTGGCCGGTCACTAGTGGTGTCCCTAATGGATCAGTGTTGGGCCCAGTTCTGTTTAATATCGATGATTTAGATGAGGGGATCGAGGGTACCATCAGCAAATTTGCAGATGACACTAAGTTGGGGGGGAGTGTCAATCAGCTGGAAGGCAGGAGGGCTCTTCAGAGGGACCTGGACAGGCTGGAGAGTTGGGCTGATTCCACCAGGATGAGGTTCAACAAGGCCAAGTGCCTGGTCCTCCACTTTGGCCACAACAACCCCCTGCAGCACTACAGGCTGGGGACAGAGTGGCTGGAGAGCAGCCAGACAGAGAGGGACCTGGCAGTTTGGATTGACAGGAAGCTGAACATGAGCCAGCAGTGTGCCCAGGTGGCCAGGAAGGCCAATGGCATCCTGGCCTGGATCAGGAACAGTGTGGCCAACAGGTCCAGGGAGGTGATTCTTCCCCTGTACTCAGCACTGGTGAGGCCACACCTGGAATGCTGTGTCCAGTTCTGGGCCCTCAGTTCAGGAAGGATATTGAGGTCCTGGAGCAGGTCCAGAGAAGAGCAACGAGGCTGGTGAAGGGACTCAAGCACAAGTCCTATGAGGGAGAGGCTGAGGGAACTGGGGCTGTTCAGCCTGGAGGAGGCTCAGGGGAGACCTCATCACTCTCTATAACTGCCTGAAAGGAGGTTGTAGCCGGGTGGGCATCAGTCTCTTCTCCCAGGCAACTACCAGCAAGACAAGAGAGCATGGTCTTCAGCTGTGCCAGGGGAGGTTTAGGTTAGATATTAGGAAAAATTCTTTACAGAGAGGGTAATCATGCATTGGAATGGGCTGCCCAGGGAAGTGGTGGATTCTCCATCCCTGGAGGTTTTTCAGATGAAGCTGGATGTGGCACTTAGTGCCATGGTCTAGTAACCATGGCGGTAGTGGATCAAGGGTTGGACTTCATGATCTCAGACGTCCCATCCAACCCAGCTGATTCTATGATTCTATTTGTATTTGATAAGCACAGGTGTGCAGACGCCAAAGTGGAATTTCCCAGTCAGTGCCTGGGAAATGAAAAGATAAGGAAGGATTGACTTTTCTTGATAAGATCTGCTTTGAGTATTAAAAGAGTGCCCATCCTGCCCTTCTCTCCAAAGAGATTATCAAACGCGTCATTCAGCCCTCAGCAGTCAGCTATATCATGCTGAGTTCCCACTCCCATGTAAACATGCAATCCACTTGGACATTGTAGCTGTGCTAAGGATTGCTTCTGATTCAAGACCAATCTGACATTTGCATCAAGTGGGCAAGAAGAGGCGGAAGAACAGGAAACAAGGAAAAATACAGGCAGGAGTTACTAATCCTCTTTGCATTACAGATGTTCCATAAAGAACATTTCACTTTGTCTAAGAATTTATTTTGCACTTTGTTCTGGTTTGGTTTATGTAGCAATCTGTAAGCTTTCACATTTCTTCAATTCT